CCAAGTTCTTGGCTGGTGCCACAATCTTACACCATTTGCAGTTCAAATTCCAGTTATTCTTCTGAAGAAAACTGCCTTCATCTTTCTCCTGGGAAGACACTTTGTGAGTCAGAAGCAGAGCTGGAAATGGATGTTATTTTCATTCCAAATCTTTTTGGAACTAGAAACCAAGTCATAGGATTCAAGGTCTTTTCCAGGAAGACATGATAGATTGACTTGACCCAACCCTGGAGGTTCTAGGCCAGTGCAATCCCTTATCTTCTCCTGGGTACTTTAATGGGGGCCCTGAACTGGTCCTACCCATTTCTCTCCCACATTAGGAAAGTTTCTGCATGAGTTTTTTTTTTTTACTACAATTCTCTTCTCTCATTGATGAACATTAAATCATAGGCACTTTACCATTGGCAGTTCTGGGACAGAGATTTTTAAAGTCACAGTCACGGTCACGGTCCTCCCATTGTTCATCGATTTGCTTGAGCGGGCCCAGTAACATCTCTATCATGAGACTTGTTGTTACTGTGTTTGGCATATTTTTTCATGATATTTGGATAACATAAGTTTTAAATTTATCCTTAAATCAACTACTGTGAGTTCCTTTCTTACTTTTTTATGCTTTAAAATAATTTTGCCTCGTGATAATATCAATAGAAATCTTTGTGTTCTTTGAACATATTTCCCAAATTTGTATAAAATTATTCATATCTTCTGCTTTTTCTTGATTATTTCAGAAAGAGTTTTTTTCTCCCCCATTAGAGTATCAAATCCTAACATTTATTCACCTTTCCTGTTTTCTACATCACAGGTTTTTGTTTTTAACTTTATCCCTATATTCTTTTTCACTTCTGAAATGTATTTTTCTTCTTATTTCATGGAACTCTACTTTAATGAGTTTCATAATGAATGTGTTTTTCTTTGCAATTTTATATTCTTTATCTTTCTGGTTTTTTTTTCCTTCACTTGGTTGGGTCACAACTTTCTGTGCTCATCATGTAAGGCACTTGCCTTGCACATGGCCATTCTGGGTTCAATCCCTGGCATCCCATAAGATCTCCGGAGCCTGTCAGGAGTAATTCTTGAGTGCAGAGTCAGGGTAACTGTTAGGGTAACCTGTGAGCACTGCCAGGTGTGACAAAAAAGAAAAAAGGGAAAGGAGTGACCTGTGTGCCAACCCAAAAACATGCAGATGGAGAGAAAGGGCAAATAAGTACAAAAGGGAGAAAACCAAATTTGATGATTGAGATACAATAATGCTCTATAATACAAATCTCTGCCCAATAACCAATATGCAGACACACTCAAATACATGGAATTAGGAATCAGAAGATCAGGATAAATGTTTCGGTGTTTCAGGTTGTCGTTTTTAACAAAGAGAAATAATATTTACTGATCAGTGAAATCTGATTTCAGTTAATCAGTTTAACAGATTTTCCCTTACAAATCAAAGGGCAGGGGGATTCATTGAGACACAGTTAAAAAAAAAAGTTAGTGAGATTCAGATTGAACAGTGTCCTGTACCTCAGCTGCCTTTTATAACAGACCTTGGATGTCTCTGCGGGAGTGTTAGGTGCAGAGGTTCTGCTCTGCCATTGTCAGGCTGGGTGGGGACAAGAGACACCACCATTCCAAATAAGAAATGCCATGAATGCATCCCAGGTTGGCCATGTTCAAGACTAATGTCCTCTCTGCTGTTCTGTCTCCCAGATTTGGTCCCATTTTTAGTATTCTTATTGTTTCATTATGTTGTAACTATTAATGCATTTTCTTACCCCTACCATAGTGATTGGGTGAAAAAGCAAACACAAAGACCATTGTGAGTTCTGATGGCTTTTCTCCTTTCTCCCGTATCTCCAAATCTGGCCTTCCCCACCTCCTGCCCTCGAGTCTTACCACCCCTCACCACACACACCATGATAAGGTCAGTGAACAATAAATTCAAGTATTTTTCTTCTACCTTTCCACATCTTGGGCTGGAGCAATAGCACAGTGGGTAGGGCATTTGCCTTGCAAGCAGCCGACCCAGCCGACCCGAGTTTGATTCCTCCGCCCCTCTCGAGTCTGGCAAGCTACCAAGAATATCTTGCCCACATGGCAGAGCCTGGCAAGCTACTCTTGGCATATTCGATATGCCAAACACAGTAACAAGTCTTACAATGTTACTGGGCCCGCTTGAGCAAATCAATGAACAACGGGAGGACAGAGCTACAGTGCTTTCCACATCTTGGCTCCCTTGACTTGGAGAAATGGGAACTAACTTTTCTTTTTATTTTTTGGCTTTTTGGATCATACCCTGCGATTCTCTATGGTTACTCCTTGTTCTGCACTCAGGAATCATTCTTGGGGGTTCTTGGGGGACCATATGGAATGCTGAGGATTGAATCTCATGCAAAGCACATGCCCTACTTGCTATACTTTAGCTCTGGCCCTGGAAACTAACTTCAGTTGGTGGCACAATTCTCTTTGCTTAAACCCAAGAACCCACCATCTAGGTAGTTTTCCCACTGGGTTGTGACTTCCTCTTCTTTGGGTCCCTCTAGTCCTTGGTGTCTGACTCTTCAGTTCTGGGTGGACGGATGTGGTGGTTTTCCCAGTGAGTTTCAGCCATTGCACCCCAGCCTCCACCTGGCTGGATGGAGTTTGCTTCCCACACAAGGGCACCTGTTCCAAGCCTGAGCACTGAGCCCCCAGGGGGCCTCCTGGGTGCAGGATTCGAGTCCTTTGCTCAAGCTGCCTTCAGGAGTGTCTGTGCTTTGCTTTATTTTGTTTCTGTTTGTTTGGGCCACACTGGCGGTGCTCAGGGCTGATTCCTGGTTCTGTGCTCAGGGATCACTCCTGCAGGTGCTGAGGACTATGTGGCATGCTGTGATCAAACCTGGGTGAGCAGCCTCCAAGGCAACTAGTGACACTGGGCTGCCACAGGCCTGAAACTTACATTTATGGCTTATAGTGAGACTCCAGGATCCAACCCCAGGTGGCAAAATCCACATCACCAGGACAGGGAAAGCCAAACTTGGCCTGGGCCAGTCAGGAGGTGGGAGGCATGTGGCTGAAAGAGCAGCCAGTGACCTTCCCCCCATCAACCCCCCAGACCTGGCCTGGAACTGTCAGCCCTCACAGGGGACCCCACGTGACTGAGTTTCCCTTGTGACTTAGCCTCTCACTCCTGCTGCCCCCTCCCTGCCCATCTCCCTGTCCCCTCCATCACCCACATGGACAGGTGACTGCTAGGGCCATTCTGCTCACAGTCCCCGCTCTTGCCTGAGCGGCCTCCCTGCGCACAAAGACCCTTGGCTTTGCAGGGTCCTGTCCCAGATGTCCCCCTGAGATGGGAGTGAGGGGGCACTCACTCAGGTGCTCCTGCGTGACTGGATTGGGCGACCAGTGTTCTGGGAGGCCCGTGCGTTGCCACAGAGCTGTTTCCAGTAGTGATGGAGAGGTGGGCAGGTGCTGGGCCCATTCCTGACTCTGCAGTAGAGCCACTTGCTCTGCACTCTTGTAGCAGGGGCCCATGAGGACGAACCTGGCAGGAGCTCTCACAGGGGTCTTGGAAATTGCACATACTCCGGATGAGGGATCCTGGGTTCTAGCCTGCTTCTCACTCCAGCCCAGTGTATTTTTCTCAGCCTCTGTTGGCTGCTGACTGGGACGGGGACAGAGAGAGCATTGGAAAGTCCTGCGGGTCCTGCTGCTCTCATTTTGGGCTGAGAGAAGCTCTTCATGTGGTTAATCTTGTGTAATGAGTTGAAACTGGGTGAGTGAAGATTCAGGGCACTGAGGCACTTTACCCTGGCACAGCACAGAGACAAAGAGGCTTCAGATCAGTCTCCCAGGCACTCTCTACACGGGGCATTTCTGTGCTTGGAGAGAGCGGTGCCCGCGCTTCTGGCCTGATGAATCCCAAGGACCTGGGTGGGAAGCAGGTACCTGGGATCCCCCATACCAATCAGAAGGGCAGGTTCCAGGTCAGTGGCTGCGTAGTGGCCTCAATTTCCTAGATGCTATTGACCCAGGTTTGGTCCTGCACATTAAATAGACTTCTAGAACCTCCGGGAATGATCACCAAGCACAGAACCAGAATTTGTCCTGTGCAAGCAAACAAACAAACCAAAAAAAGCAAATCTGCTTACTGATTCTCTTACAGGCTGCTACTGAAGTAACTTCAAAATTATCATAGTGCCAAAGGCGGACATATTTGGAAGCCTGCTCTGAACTTCAGGGTAGTATTATTCAAACGTTGAAGATATGCACCAGAGAAAGCACAGTGGATAAGGTGCTTGTCATGCATTTGGCCGAGCCAGGTTCAGTCCCCTGCATCCTATCTGGTCCTTCTGACCACCTCCAGGAATAATTCCTGAGTGCAGTCACTGTCATGGTCCTCCTGTTGTTCATCGATTTTCTTGAGCGGGTCCAGTAATGTCTCCATTGTGAGACTTTGTTGTTACTGTGTTTGGCATATTGAATATGTCACAGGGAGCTTGCCAGGCTTTGCCGTGCAGGCGAGATACTCTCGGTAGCTTGCCAGGCTCTCTGAGAGTGGCGGAGGAATCGAATTCGGGTTGGCCATGTTGGCTGCGTGCAAGGCAAATGCCCTACCTGCTGTGTTGTGATAGCACGGCGAGTAGGGCGTTTGCCTTGCTCACAGCCAGCCTGGCCGAGCCAGGTTCGATTTCTCTGCCCCTCTCAGAGAGCCTGGCAAGCTATTGACAGTATTCAATATGCCAAACACAGTAACAAGAAGTCTCACAATGGAGACATTACTGGACCTGCTCGAACAAATCGACGAACAACGAGAGGACCTGGATTCCATCCCCTGCACTCTAAGACTGCCAGGGGTAACCTCCGAGTGCAGAGCCAGGAGTAAGCCCAGAGCGCTGCCAGGTGTAACCCCAAACAAACAAAACATAGATCTCTTTCTTCCTGAGTGCAGGGTAAGGAGTAACCCCTGGAACCACTGAGTGTGGTTCTACTGGATGGTGAAATAATTTGAGATATATGTGTGAGGGAAAAAGAAAGTTTTGAGGGATGTTTGCGTGTCATCCTTGCGCAGGGGCCATGCTAATCTTCTCTGTATCATTCTAATTTTAGTATATGTGCTGCCGAAGCGATTTGATCAAGTGATCAAATCACAGAGCACAGTGAAAAAAACAACAACGCTGAATAACACTTTATTATTGGCTCAATTAGTGCTTCCCTCCAGCCAACCCTCGTCAAGGACTCAGCCGGTCCACAGACAAGACGTCCTTTCCCTGCTTTGGAATAGCCTGAGTCTTTGAGCCTCACATAGCCTAGAACGAAGGCCAGACCTCCATTCCCTGCCCGCTGACCCTCTCCAGCCCAGAGTACTGCACTGACGAATCAAACAGACAAGGGCAGCTCATGATCTTCTAAGAAAGATGATCTTCACATGAAGATCTTCATGATCTTCACAGAGGCAGGGTGGGATGGGGGGTGGTGTGTGGGGCGGGGGAGGGATACTGGAATCCGTGGTGGTGGGAAATGGGCACTGGTGGAGGGATGGTTATTTGATCATTGTATAATTGAAACCCAAAAGTGCATCCTTCCAATCTGACAGGGGTCCTCTATACAGGACCCAAACATCAAAACACATGCCACGTGCCCCTAGATATGACCAACAATCCCCCAGTCACGTGACAGTGAGGCATGGCAGAAGGGAGATGCAGGATTGGCCCAGGGAAGCAGGTGACCTCTAGCAATCAGGTCCCTTTCACACACCCAAAGGATCCTCTCACCCCATGAACGAAGAGGTAGAGAAGGGCGACCGACACACAGGCAGCACAGACCCCCACAGTGCTGGCACAGAGCATTTTGCTTCTTTATTGAGTTTCCTACTGATTAGCCTTTAGCTGAGTAACAGGATGTCTCTGTGTGAGGAGGACTGAGAACCGGAGACCCGGCACGCAGGCCTGAGCATGCAGGAACAACATCTTCTCAGGTGCGGGGATGAGTTGGCGTCTCCCTGCAGGAGGAGAGAAGAGACAGTGGGGCATGAGAAGGAGCACCCCATACAGCAGACATGGGCCAGCTCCCAGGAACTCCCAGCCCAGTGCTGCTCTCCCAAGAACACTGAGACAATCTGCCAAGGAATCGAAATTCCTGGATAACTTATTTTAGGCAAACCAGCCTAGAGATTTAAAGGTTTTATCTAGCAGGGACATGAGGACCAAAGGGGTGTCTGATTAAAGATATAAAATTCATTACCTCACAGTTTAACCATAAAAAATTTCCGGCACGTATTCCTCTGTAAGTGAAAATAAAAACCATCAATAAACGTGATTGCCATTCAATGCCTCTTTTGCAAACCACAACGCCCAAAAGGAGAGAGAGAACAGAAGGGAATGCCCTGCCACAGAGGCAGGGTAGGATGGGGGGTGGTGTGTGTGTGGGGGAGGGATACTGGAATCCGTGGTGGTGGGAAATGGGCACTGGTGGAGGGATGGGTATTTGATCATTGTATAATTGAAACCCAAGCACAAAATTTGTAAGTCTACAACTGTACCTCATGGTGTCTCACTAATAAAAATTAAAAAAAAAAAGTCGTATATAGTCACTAACCCTTGAGGGACTCGAGATAATCTTGTTCCACGAACCCCCTCATGTCCCAGGATGAATTTTGCATATTGCAGGCTGGGCTGCGGGCCTCTCTGTAGGCGTCTCTGGCCAGTGACAGAGCCTGGCCACCAGCAAAGTGCTGATAGCAGGGATTTCTGCAGGGGGCTGGCCATGTTTAAGCAACTCAGGGAACTTGGGAATGCTTAAACATTGGGGGGCAGGGGTGCATAGCGGTGGGTCAGCTCACCCTCTTCTGGTTCCTCTGCATGGTCGGTCTCCTGGTCCTGGTCCTCGTCCTGCCCAGGGTCCTGTCTCGACACGGGCATCACGCACTGCTGCTTGCAGTGGTAGAAACAGCACTTCTTGTTTTCCTTACAGTTGGAATCGATCCAGCACTTTGGGAGCAGAAAGGCCGGGCACACAAACCTGGAATCCGGGCAGTACCCGGGCTTCTGTAGGACTGAATAGAAAGGCCCCGGGGTGAAGGGAGAGCAGACACCCTGGATAGAGCATAGTTGCCTGGATGCCTGTTCCCTGGCACCAGAACTCAGCCCAAGGAATCCTTGTTTGCTCCTCTGCCCCCACCCACACCCCACGCCCGGCACTCACTCTTACGGAATCCAGGCTGCGCCACATGGAGACAGAGGACCAGGAAGACCAGGGTCCGTGGCAAGAGGCTTTTCAGCTTCATAATGCTGCTCGCCAGACCCTCTTACCTAGTCTCACCCCGCGGCCCGCCGGCAGGGGGAGCTCTGCTCCCCAGAGCCCAAGGTCAGTCTTTAATCAGACACCCCCTTACCCCCCATGTCCCTGCTAGATAAAATCTTTCCTGCCTCCCATACCCAAAGGCAGAAACCCAGTAACCCTCCCCTTGTCTAGTCATGTGTATAAAAGATACTGTAAAATCCTGGAGATAAATAGTTTCAAAACCATAAGAAAGTTGCAAATGTTGGGCTGAGATATAGTTCAGGGCCGTAAAGCAGTTGTGTTGCTCGCAGCCAATGCTAGTTTGATTTCCAGCGCTGCGCAGGGTCCCCTGAGTGGTTTCTGAGAACAGAGCCAGGAGCAAACCCTTAGCACAATCGGGTGTGGCCCAATCCAGCGAACAAAAATGTGAGAGAGAAAAGGCCCTCCCGTTGAGCATCGATTTGCTCGAACGGGCCCAGTAACGTCTCCATTGGAGACTTTGTTGTTACTGTGTTTGGCATATCGAATACGTCACGGGGAGCTTGCTAGGCTCTGCCGTGCCGGCGAGATACTCTCGGTAGCTTGCCGGGCTCTCCGAGAGGGGCGGAGGAATCGAACTCGGGTTGGCCATGTTGGCTGCGTGCAAGGCAAACGCCCTACCGCTGTGCTATCGCTCCAGCCAGAGAGAAAAAGAAAATGAAATTGCAGATGAAAGGTAGCATTCAATTATGAAACTCATTAGAGTAGACTTCCATGAAATCTAAAGAAAAAAATGCATTTCTGAAGTGAAAAGGAATGTAGGGATAAAGTTGAAAGCAGAAACCAGTGAGGTGGAAAACAGAAAAAGTGAATAAATCTTAGGATCTGGTACTCTAATGAGGGAGGAAAAAGAGTTTTCTGAAATAATCAAGAAAAAGTAAAAGATTTGAATAAGTTTGTCTAAATTTGAAAAATATGTTCAAAGAACATACAAAAAACTCCAAATGATATTATCATCACTTTCCTGGGCTGGTGTGATAGCACAGTGGTAGGGCGTTTGCCATGCAATTGGTTTGCCCGGCCTACCCAGGTTCAATTCCTCCGCTGTTGGAGTACAAGGAGCTTAGGTTTATCTGGTTACACCCATCACAGTGTTCCTGAAGCACTTCCACTTCCATTGTGTTTATCTGTAAGCAGTCTTCCCTATGCTCTCCTTCCCACCCAGTTAATCAGCTTTCCCCTTAATCAGACTTTGTTAATTTGTAAGATCAGTTTCCCAGAAATCCATGATTTTATATGTATGAGTGAAATATTGCCTTTCTCCTCTCCTTATGCCTTATGAACATTTTACCTTAAAGTAATATCCTTTTTGTATAGATATAGGAAGACAGTTAACATTATGCTTTGTAATTTAGGATTTTATTGGCTTTGAACATTATTCACTCCCAGGCATCTGCTTTCTCGACTTAAGCCTCAGTTGCCCTTAGTTCTTAACACCCCCAAAGCAGGGTCCCGACGAGGGACTGAATGGACCCAGGGCAAGCAGTGAGCTACCCTGGCATCGAAATGGGCCAGGCCAAAGTGCCACGATTCTTAACTATAAGTTAAGAGTTTGATCATAGACAAATGCTGTCATGATCCAAAAGTAACAACGAGACTAGGATCCGGCTAGGGTTGGGAAAGACTATCTGGCCTGAGCACTGTAGTCTGAGATCGAGATGGCCCTAGGAGAGCAATTCTATAAGTTTAAGATATTTCTTACTGTATCCATACAAAATGATTTATATTATATATGCTTATATGCTTGTCGGACAAGGAGAGGAGAGACACACCCTTGGGATTCCGCTCTAGGGTGGGTCCTCCTGCTGAGAAAGGATCTGTCCTAGGAGTGGCCTTCCATGAGGCTAAGATTTCTACCCCTATTGATTGTGACCACACCCATGTGTAATTGTTCCCCCAATTCCACATGGAGAGAGGATTTAACTAGACTGTAGGAGTGGGCTGGATGTTCAGAAGGGATCAGAAGGGGGAGAAGGAAGAAGCAGAGATCAGAAGGAGGAGAAGGAGGATGAAGGGGGATGGAGAAGGAGAATGAAGTAGCATGGGGGAGGAAGCGGGGAGCAGAGACAGAAGCAGAGACAGAGGAGAGACAGAAGCAGAGACAGACAAGAGAGACTGGTGTAGATGGAGAGAGGAATGAAATAAACTGCTACTAATGCCTACCAGCCTGGCCCTCGTTCCTTCCTCTGCCTGACCATCGCCATCGACCTCCCCGGGGCAGGAGAAGGGTGAGACTACCGAACGCGGGCGGCGGGAGAGATAGAGCCACCGCCACTCTGTGTGAGTTTACACACTCCGCCACTCTTGGAGAGCCCGGGAAGCTACCTAGAGCATCCCACCAGCATGGCAAAGGCTGGCAAGCTTCCCATGGCGTCTTCCATGTGCCAAAAACAGTAACAACAAGTCTTACAATGGAGATGTTACTGGTACCCTCTCTAGCAAATTGATAAACAACAGGAGGACAGTGCTATTATCATCACTATGCAAAATTATTTTAAACCCCAAAAAGGTAATAAAAGAACTCAAATAAATATCTCCCCACCCTGCACCAGGCTGATTTCCTCTGGGCACCACTGAGGGGGGCAAGTGTGTCCCTCTGCCTGTCCTGAAAGAAGCCCGACAGCTTATAAAACCTCCAGAATCCGATCAACGCCATGCTCCTGTTCGTCCTTCACAGGCTCGCCCCAAGCCCCACATGCATGAGAATGAATCTGCTGAAAAACCCAAGTACGCAGGACTTGTAACTGAAATCTCCATGCTCACCTGGAGCTAGGAATGGGCTCCACCTCCCATCTCCCTCTGCTTCTGA